TTGTAGGGACAAGGTCTCACTATGTTGCCTAGGCTGGTCTTGAACTCCTAGGCTCAAGTGATCCTCTTGCTTAGGACTCCCAAAATGCTGGGATTACAGGTGTGAGCCTTGTCTTTGTTTTTGGTCAATTAATTTGTCTTCTCATATATCTGACTACTTTTTATTGATTGCTGGACTTTACATAAGAAAACATATAGAGACAATGTAAAATTTAGGATAATTTAATTTTCCTCCAGACTTAAGTTTACTTCTAGGGGGTGGCTGGGCTACTAACAATTCTAAGATAATAAGATTACCTAAACCTGAGTTTCATTAGCCATGAGGGATGATTTATATCTAGTTCATCCTTTCCTTTCAAGTGTGGCCCTTTAAAGTTCCAATTCAAAGCCTGCAGGTTTATTAGGGCCTATCCTTGGTCAGTGTCTCTTCTCTGGATTTCTTGTTTAACTTAGATCCTGGTCTTGTAATTCTTTTACTTTCTTTTAACTCTATGATACCTTTAAATACATATTTAAAAAATTTTTTTGAGTTGGAGTCTCACTCCTTCACCCAGACTGGGGTGCAGTGGCAGGCATGCTCACAGCAACCCCAGCGTCGACCTTCTGATATATAATAGAATGTCTCCAAGTTTAGTAGATCCATTTGACATTTTTGTTTTTGGCTAAATGATTCTCTCTACTCATATATATTTATCCAGATAGAACCTGCAAATATAATACAGTATACTGGCTGTATTAGTAATGCCACCTAGTGGCAGCCAAAGATAGACATACCTAGAAAAAAAAGTTCTAGAAAAATGATTCTTTACCTTTTATGGATTACAGAGTCATTGGAGAACCTGGTGAATACTACAGGTCTTCTCTTGACAGGGGGGAAAAAAAAAGCTTATTTGTTTATTTGCAAAGACATAAAAAGTATAGTGACTTGGGAAATTAATGAGCCTCCTGAAGTCTGTTTGTTGACCATTAAAATGAATAGGACAAAACAACTAACCTAACAGTCCAACTAACTCCCCTTGAGCCATGGGGAAAAGAAATTCATCATTCACTGTGCTTTTATCTCTTCCTTTCTGGCCAGCAACCACTATTCTTGCATAAATAGTATCTAACTTTTCCTTTTTAGATATCTGGTCTCTGATACCTACTAGATTTACATGGTATTCAGATCAATTCACAAAATTTGATGGTAGCCCAAACTAGTTATGTTTCCCAGTTGATTTTCATTAAACTTAATGTGGATCAAACAAACATTAACTTTACTTGTAATTTTTAAAGAAATGATGACTTCCAAGATGTCTGAATTTTAAGTTATAACCTTTCAGTTATCTATTATAGCTAAAAATATAAATGTTTATTGATAAACATCAAGATAAATTTCCCCTCCTAAATTTAAATATGTAAATAGCTAATAATTTAGAAAACATCACAACTCTTTTAGATGACTATTTGCTATATAATCAATTGTAATGAACTAAACAATACTTCCAAAAAAGGTAACTTCCACATTGGAGGAATTATTCATTCTAAATACAAATGTCAACAACCTAATTAGGAAATTTTGTCTATGCAGAAAAAAAAATTTATATTTCAATTTTAAGCCATGATTTTCAGTAAAGAGAACCATAATAAAGAATTAAAATTTTCTTGGCTGGGCGCAGTGGTTCAAGCCTGTAATCCCAGCACTTTGGGAGGCCGAAGTGAGGGAACTGCCTGAGCCCACAGGCTGTAGATCAGTCCGGGCAACTTGGTGAGACCTCATCTCTACAATAAATCAAAAAATTAGCCAGGTGTGGCAGTGCACGCCTGTAATTCCGGCTACTTGGAAGGCTGAGGTGGAGGGATCGCTGAGCCCAGCAGGTCAATGCTGGGGTGGATAAGGGTGCCACTGTACTCCATCCTTGGCAATAGAGTGAGATTTCAACTAAAAAAAAAAAAAAAAGTTTTCTCTTTGTTAAAATTGGTTCCTTTTTCTTGCATTTTGCTATAAAAAAGGAAGCCCATTATTTCTTACCAAACTACTCTCCTAACATGGTCACTGGTTCTTACCACTGAGGAGTTAGTTATATGAGTATATGGCAGAGGTCCCTGTTTCATTTGCACAAAACAGTACAGCATGAAGATGTCACATTTCTCTAAGTAAGGGTTATGTTAAGTTTCATATATGAAAGCTGGTGTAATTAAGACTTCTCAAACTCAAATGCATTTACAAAAGAAACTGATTTATGAGGATAAAATTCTGCTAACCGTCTGCAGCTAACTTCAAAGGCTAACCACATTCCATTAAATTTGCACTTTTATCAAGAGCAGAAATAATGACCTAACATATGAAAACAAAGACTTGACTTTTCCCTTCAAATCAGTTTTGTAAATAAATTCTTATTTGTATGTTTCTAAATCCTTTACTGGATACTTGGACCAATGGAACTAGAATAATAATGCTTTTGTATGAAGATAGTTTATGAATGTCATTTTAGTAAGGTTTCTTGTAAATATGAAAAACAAAACAGAAAACAAGAAATTTCTGTTTCAAATTTCTTCATCCTAAATTTGTATGCAATTTAAAAGGGGTTTATTTTAATCCCTTTTAAGATTCAGCAGAAATATGTTATCTGGGTTGTTTTTCAAATGCTTCCAAATTAATTAAATGCTACAAATGAGTTCCTTAATCTGGTTTTCCCAAGGAATATCAGAAGACAGGTCTACAAAAACAGAAAGGCATCCTTAACCTGTTATTCCTTCTTTTCCCCCTCCCTCAACCTTTACTAGTCAATGTAGTGTTATTCTACTAAGAATATAGTTGTTTTTTGTTTGTTTGTTTGTTTTTTGAGTTGGAGTCTCACTCTGTTGCCCAGACTGGAGTGCAGTGGCTGCTCCCGGCCACCGCAGCCTCGGCCTGCTGGGCTCCGGCGATCCTTCTACCTCAGCCTTCCGAGTAGCCGGAATTACAGGCATGTGCCACCACGCCCAGCTGATTTTTTAATTTATTGTAGAGATGAGGTCTCGCTGCCTAGGCGGGTCTCGAACCCGCGGGCTCAGGCAATTCACTCATCTCAGCCTCCCAAAGGCACGGGATTACAGGCTGAGCCACTGAGCCCGGTGACAGAATATAGTTATTAGCAAAACAATGATATGGGTTACTTCACTAGGATTTATGCCTCCATTTGAGTTAAGTCCGCAAGCAATCATGAACATAATTTTAAGCCTGGATATGGTAGCTCACGCCTGTAATTTTGGCACCTTGGGAGGTCAAGGCAAGAAGATTGCTTAAGATAAGGAGTTTGAAACCAATCTGGTCAACATAGCAAGATCTTATTGCTACAAAAAAATTAGCCAGGTGTGGTGGCACAGGTCTATAGTCCCAGCTACTTGGGAGAATGAGGCAGGAGGATCGCCTAAGCCCAGGAGATTGAGGCTGTGTTGAGTTGTGATTGTGCCACTGCACTCCAGCCTGGATGACAGAGGGAGGCCCTGGCGAAAACAAAACAAAAAATCTTTAAATTCCAACTTGTAAATTCTTATAATCTTGGAGAATTTATGTATTACAGAGTAATTCCCAGAGTATTCTTCAAACCATTCAGTACCCTTCTTTTCCAAGCGGCCAATCATTCCTTAATACTTATCGTACCTGCTTCAGAAATGAATTCATTATAGCACAGAGACTGCAAGTGTTTTTAATGATGGATTTTTCCAGCAATTAGTACTGCTGTAATACGCTTTCACCCAATAAAGATCAATCCATTTTCAAATATGGAATAATTGTTTTCAATGCATTATTCAAAAAAGCAGAAATAGAGTGAACAAGCAAGGCATCTAGAGCACAAAAAATAAATTCAACATGACACTTACTCACCAACTCTGTACTTGCATGACCCTGAGAGCGCCTATTTCAGTTGTGTGCCTTATCACTCCCAACTTCTAGCTCTGTTATTATTTCAATATATGTGTGAATGTTCAAAGGAAAACTCATCTTTCTTTGCTCGTTTCAACCGGTAAAAGGATATTTTTTAGAAGGAACACTTTTTACTTTGGGGTTTAAAGGTTTAAAGAAAGCATTTATATGGACAAAGACTAACAGACACGTGCAAAAAATAAATCTTCTTTTGCAACCCTGAGCTCATTGTTCAGTAAGAATGTTGATACATATAAGAAGGACTATTATGATACCTGAGACAGTTTAATGTGACGAATGTTCTGATAACCATGAGGGTTCGTTCCAGGACTGTAGAATTGGTAATTATAAAGCATAGGAAATGAGGGTGGTGTCAGCTACATTTAGTATTCCAATTTCATGATATATCAAGATGGCTTTTTTTTAAAGGCTTTTATTTTGAGAACATGTCTGAAGTTGAAGGTATGTCCCAATGTGTGTTTTCTCTTTGAAATTGTTTATATGTAGTGAATAGAGAATTGTCAGTGTAAGCCTCTACAGGCTTCATTTTATTAAGAGACAATTGTAGCTCCCATTAGTTAGCAATTAAAACATTTCCAAAAAGGAAAAAAAAGAAAGCATTTAGTTCTACATATGTAACACTTCATCAACTACATTCAATAAGAATACCAAAATAAATATTCAAGTGTATACATAGTGTTAGAGGATGTGGGGAAAAATACCATTTCTCTATTATTGATTAACAGAGAAGGTAAACTGTTCAAATTCATTCAGTCTTACATGAAATTCTGTACACTTAAATTAACTTCAACTATTAAAATGACAATTGCATAAGCAAGAGAATCATTATTCTAAAATCTAGAAGGGAAAAAAATTTGAGCTGAATTACTTATTTAGTAACCATATTTGCTTAATACGGTTGAAATCTTCAACCCAAAAGCAAAAACAAAACAGAATTCTAGGTCAAACTTAAAGCACCAATTTGAGGATCAGAATGTTTACAAAACACAAAGGTAATTAAATACAAATCAGAATTTTAACTTCTGAACTAAAAGCATCAATAAAAAGAAAGACTTTCTCATTTTTGTTTATTAAAAGAAAGTGATTCTTACCAGATAAAGCAGAAAGGTATGCAGCCCTGTTCCAAGCCCAACAGAAGACAAAATTCCTAAGCCTATCCAGTAGGCATACAAAAGAAACTGTTTTTCTATACGTTGCACATACTGAAAAACAAAAGGGGGTGAGGTGAAAAACATGAATACTCTATGCAGACAAGTAGTATATATAAACTACCATCAAAATTAAACAAACCAATCAGAACAAGTTTTAAATAGGAATAAAGTATTAAGATTAAAAACACTTTGAAAAAGCAGTGGTTCATGCCTATAATCCCAGCACTTTGGGAGGCCTAGGTGAGAAGATTGCCTGAGCCCACAGGTTCAAGACCAGCCTGGGCAACTTGGTGAGACCTCATCTCTACAAAAAATCCAAAAAAGAAAAAAAAAATTAGCTGGGCATGGTGACACGTGCCTGTAGTTCCAACTACTTGGAAGGCTGAATCCAGCAGGTTGAGGCTGCAGTGGCCATGAGCATGCCACTGCACTCCAGCCTGGGCGACAGAGTGAGACTCCAATTCAAAAAAAAAAAAAAAAAGTCATCTAAGTGGAATAAAGCTCTTGTTTCTAAACCTTTGAAATCCTATTAGAGGACAGAAAAAAGGCAAATTACTAATAAGAGAATTATGAAGATAAACATTGTAAAAATATGTTTAAATGAAATAAATTTAACACCATAAACACTTCACTGATATTAGAGGTAAACTGCTTTAAAATATGAAAAGATACCATTTTAGAACCATTTCCTATTAGAATATGTTAATGTTTTGCTATTTTAACAAAAAATGTTAACAAAATGTCCTATTTTTCCATAAGTAATGTTGTACTTGCAGACTACAGGCAAACGGACTTTTTTTTTTATACAAATAAAAACCTAAGGCCGGGCTCAGTGGCTCAGCCTGTAATCCCAGAACTTTGGGAGGCCGAGGTGAATGGATTGCCTGAGCCCTTGGGTTCAACACCAGCCTGGGAAACTTGGTGAGACCTTGTCTCCACAGTAAATCAAAAATTAGCCAGACGTGGTAGCGTGTGCCTGTAGTTCCAGTTACTTGGAAGGCTGAGGCATAAGGATTGCTGGGGTGGCCATGAGTGTGCCACTGCATTCTAGTCTGGGTGATGGAATGAGACTCCAACTAAAAAACAAAAACAAAAACAAATAAAATCTAACCCTCAATATGAAAACATTGGCGATGATTAAAGGATTCATGCTGCTCTGACTGAACACTTTCAGGAAAGTTATTTTTAAATCTTTGAAAGTAAAAGGAATCACATACCAACATAAATGCTGAGTAGTCATAAAACACTGCATGAATATTTTTAGTGCCTGTCCTTACAAGTAAAACACTGAGATACCAGTTATGAGATAATGTTGAGGGTAGAAATTCTAAAAAACTCACATTAGTCCCATTTTGAAACTGGGATTAGAGAATGTGCAAGAGCAGAAATAGAATTGCTGGACCTCTCACCTGTTGATGTGCTCCTTCAATATAATACGTAGCTATAAGCACAGCAAGCAGCAGTAAAAAAGACACCACAATGCTTTGACGATGCCATAATCTTAAAAACAAATTAAAAAAAAATAAAGAAATATCTCACAGTCTCAGTTTCAGGATTCATCATTCTCAAAACAATTTCTTACTGAAGCAGTCAGGTTATCTAGCTCAACTGGGCTGAACTCTTGTCCTACATGCAATGGCTTCTTGGAGGTACAGAAGGTGGCCAAGAGGAGACAGAATTTAATTTCTTATTATAAACCTCATCATAGCCTTCCCCTCACCCAAAGTCTGATCTTGTCTATAGCCCAATTTCTAATTTGGAGAGGCATTACTGTATATCAGAAAGAGCACTGGTCTTCAAGTCAGAGAATCTGGGCCAGAGACCCTTTGGGTTGTACTCTGAGCAAGACATATAGCCAATCTAAATTTGTTTCTTGTAGTACAATAAAAATATAAGATAATAGTACAGATAATAACTTGGAAGGGCACACCAATGATAAGAAAATGATAAGGCTTGTAAAAGTTCAGCTTGCTCTTTATGGTACTTGAAACTGGGCTTACAAGTACTAAATTTAAAGACAACATATTTCCATGGCAGAGTCCTTTTGCACTGGCTCAAACCATCAGTAAAACTGCCACATATCCTGGGCTTTGTGCTGCTGAAGAATCAGCGCATGCAGGTGATTTAACCTGAAGGTAAAACCAGGAGGAACAAAAACCATCACATTTTCAGTGTTCTCTCTTATATGTAATACTGAATGTGAGATAGTGGTCAACTGTGATAACCCAAGAGGCAAACAGTAATATGTTTCCCTAATCTATTTTTCTTCAACTTACAGAGAGAATAAATATGTTCCTATGATAATATTCTAAAATTAATTAATCCATTTTGATGGAGCAGAGGGCAAAGAGTAGGAGATTGTAGAGGATTTCTAAAATTAGTAAATAAGGTTTATATATAAGGTAATGGAAAACTCTTTACTTTGAGGTCCATTCCTTCAAGATTACAAGGATTTCCAGAGAAAAATACTGCAAGGTAATGAGTGGCTGTCTCCACAGGACAATATTCTGCCTTTCTTCCCGATCCCTCCTCTTCTTTTCATTCACTGAAGAGGGATCTGAAAAACAATAGTGTAGACATTAAAACAGAAATTCTAACATTTATGCTCACCCTTTCCAATCATTCAAAAAATCCATCCACCATCCCATCCCACATCTGAAAGACTGCATATAAATCTCAAAAGTACAAACAATGTGATTCACATCTGGGTCATGGAAGTTTAAATACTTGTACAACAAACTTGAGATCACCCCTTCTCTAGAGGAAGCAACCTCTGGAATACAATTCTAATCGCTGTGTTTGAAAATAACATAAATTAAGCCCCAGTAGCCTTTCATTTCTCTGAATATTTACCTATCTCTTTCCTTTCAATCAGTGACTACCTTGCAGGTTATCATTTCAGCAATCTTAGAAGGATGGTAAAATGTACGAGTGCTTACATACACATTGGATGAAAAGAGTTTTACCCATGTCCTGTAATCATTAACAGCAAGTCCTAGAGTCCTATGAAAATGGCAACTAGTCCAGACTTAGCAACAGCAAGTGGCTTAGGAAGGAGATGCATTACAGTAGTTCTCTCTTATCTACAGTTTCAGTTTCTCATGGTTAACTGCAGTCTAAAAATGGAAAATGGAAAATTCTAGAAATAAACAATAAATTTTATATTGCATGCTATTCTGAGTAGTGTGATAAAATCTGTGCTGTCCTGCTCCATCCAGTCCAAGACATAATTAATCTCTTTGTCCAGCATATCCATGCTATATATGTTAACCTTCCCCAATCCCATAACTGCATAGGGAAAAACATAGTGTATATAGGGTTTGGTACTACCTGCGGCTTCAGGTATCCACTGGGGGGTCATAAAACTTATTCCTCGTGGGTAAGTTGCCACTTCTGTTTTTTTTAGAGACAGGGTCTCGCTCTGTCACCTAGGCTGGAATGCAGTGACATGATCACAGCTCACTGCAACCTCAAACTCCTGGGTTCAAGGGATCCTACCATCTCAGTCTCCCAAATAGCTGGGACAACAGGTGCATGCCAACACACTAGGCTAATTTTTTTTTCTTATTTTTTTTTTGTCGAGATGGGGGTCTCACTATGTTGCAAGGCTGGTCTTGAACTCCTGGTCTGAAGTGATCCTTCTGCCTTAGCCTCCCTAAGTGCTGGAATTATAGACATGAGCCACTGAGCCTAGTCTTACAGTTGCCACTCCATAATCAGTGTTACCTAGAGAAAAACTTAGGCAAGAAAAAATGCATACCTTTTGCCAACTATCTGACATGACAAGTGCCAGAATTTTTTGTAAAGGGTACCCCTAAAGAAATAGTACTAAAAATTCTAGCTGTTACATTTGGGATAGAGCCAAAGATTTGGGAAAATGAAATGTCTGGGCAAGGTGCTTCTGCCCCAATTTTTATATTATTTTACTGTCAGAACATAACCTTCATTACTGAAGTAAGTCTAAATTGGTACAACTTCTATGACAGGCATCATATCAAGCTAGCATCATATTACAGAACAAAATGGTTTAGTTAACAAAATGTGGAGGCAAACTAGTTGCCTCCAAATCCTGGCTCTGCCTATCAGTCATGTGAACTTGGGCAAGTTAGTTAACACCTCTGTGCCACAGTATTCTTTTCTATAAAATGGGGATAACAACGGTATTAACTTTTCAGGGTCACTGTAATGATTAAATGAGTTAATGTATGTAAAGTTTTCAGAAGAGTATGATACTTAATAAATATCCAATTAAGGTTAGCTATATTGTCATCACCTACTGAAATTACACACGCAAATACATTTTAACAATGATATTTCTAAGAATGATATAAGGTAAAGTGACTTGCAAAAATTTCAATGCAAAAAATTCAATGCAGCATTATTTGTACTAGCAAAAGATCATCAACAATTTAAATGTTACTGGTAAAAGACAGGGTAGTGAAAATATAGCAGACTCATACGGTGGAATGGACTACTAAGCAGCCAAAATAAAGAATAAGTTTTTCATGTACAGTTATAGCAAAATCTCTAAGAAATATTAAGTAAGAAACACATGGTACAAAAGAGAAAGTATGACATACTGACGCTAATTTTAAATTCCAATGGGGTAAGCAGTAAAGGAAAAACATATAAATGTATGTGCTTGCTGAAAGAAAAGAAAAAAATAACACACAAAAGCTCCTAATGGGAGACACTGTGATGTATGATGTATGCAATAACCATCTCTGAGTTTTAAAACTCTTGGTGAAACTGCAAAGTATATCGACAAGCAAAGCAAAAGTGAGACCAGTACTCCAAAATGCTCTCTGCAAGGCAAAAGAGTAATTAAAACAAATGGAAACGACTATTTCAGATAGCTTGTACTTCTTCCAGTAGAAGAAAATTTCTATGATAACATTACCACACTAGAGTATTATTTGCAATGTGTTTAAGGTGCCAAATAATTCAGAAATTAAAAAAAAGTACAATTACTAGAAAAGAAAGATTTTCATTTTCCTTCAAATGCATGAAGGAAATTTCCTACTTAAACCATCCATATTAATAAAAACCATCATTTTCAGGGTAAATGTATAAATACTAATTAAAAAAAGGGGGGTGACCAAAAAATGTATACACATTTTAAGAGATTTTTTTTCTTTTCTTTTTTTTTTGAGTTGGAGTCTCATTCCGTCACCCAGGCTGGAGTGCAGTGGCATGCACGCTCACAGCCACCCCAGCATCGACCTGCTGGGCTCTGGTGATCCTTCCGCCTCAGTCTTCCAAGTAGCCAGAACTACAGGTGCACGCTACCACGCCTGGCTAATTTTTGATGTACTTAGAGACGAGGTCTTGCCAAGTTGTCCAGGTGGGTCTCAAACCCGCATGTTCAGGCTATCCACTTGCCTCGGCCTCCCAAAATGCTGGGATTACAGGCTGAGCCACTGAGCCCGGCCTTCTTTTCTTTTTTTTAAAAGCAGGATTTATGGAGAGGACAGGAAAGCTTCCAGTGAGAGGGGACCCAAGGGGTTTGCCCAGAGATGTTTTCTACGTATTACTTTTCAAAGTTGAATTAAATTGTGGTAGCAATGTACAGTATGACATTCACTCAACCGTGCTTCTGCTATTTTTTTTGACTGTCCTGCCTGTCACATAGTGATTCGAGCATTCAATTGATTAACGCCATCTTTTGCATGAATGTCATACTTAAAATTGGTATACATTTTTTTGGCACTTCTGTAAACTGAAATTTATCACAAATTCTAATTTGGTTAAAATACAAGTTTAGTCATCTCAAACTAAATTTTTAGAATAAGTCTAAACAAGAATAAATAAAAGTGAGCACTGAGTAAAGCCAAATAAACACTCATCATACCACAAAATTAACAAGCAATAATCTTGTACCTATGTGACTGTGACCAGATTACTTCTGTAATCACCTCTTAGGCCAGGACCCATGATTAAATTTACTACTAAGATATTAATACATTAAGATTAGAAGGATCAGAAGTAATATATTTCTATTTATTTCAATGAAAAGTATTATCATTTAAACCTGTAGATCTATTCCTCCAAACCACCACACTTTACCTGTGAAATTTCCATTATGTTGTTCCTTGTTCATTGCTACACGTCTCTGGTCACAATTTTTTCCATTCTCTGCCATTTCATAAATCAGTAACTCTTGAGGAACTAATACAGTAAAATAAAATACGGCAATATGTCACATACTTTTGCTTTGCAATTGTGACTGAATAAAACTGAATACAGGAACAGCATGACAGTAATATCCCACATGCTATTATAATGCATATATATTTTATTTTTTTCTTTTCTAACTAAAACTTGAACAATGTGAATATAAATGATATTACAAATAGTAAAAATATAAAATCCATGTACTTGTAAACCTTTTAGATTAAAATTTGTAGATAATTTTTCCATAGAGGAAGGATATCAAGTGACTAGCACCTTCAAATATTGACAAACTATAAGATTTAACATCCTTCTAACGCACAATATAATATTATACACACTACTTACTCAAAATCAACCTCATCATTTTAATCCTTCTATCATTTGATCGTTCATACTCCCTTTAACATTAGAAAAAAAGGCCGGGCTCGGTGGCTCAGCCTGTAATCCCAGCACTTTGGGAGGCTGAGGCGAGACAATTGCCTGAGCCCACAGGTTCGAGACCCACCCGGGCAACTTGGCGAGACCTCGTCTCTAAAATAAATCAAAAATTAGCCGGGCGTGGTAGCACATGGCTGTAGTTCCGGTTACTTGGAAGGCTGTGGCGGAAGGATCACAGGAGACCAGCATGTCGAGGCTGCAGTGGCCAGGAGCATGCCATTGCCCTCCAGCCTGGGTGACAGAGTGAGACTCAAAAAAAAAAAACAAAAAAATTAGAAAAAAAAATTATATTACCAAAGATGTCACAAATGTTGACACATAGCTCTAAGACCACAGATCAGTTTTATTTAGGAAACAATTCTACTGAATAAAATGATCTGGGCATAGTTATGGGCATATAAGATAAAAATTTTGCCAGGTATGGTGGCTCAAGTCTGTAATCCCAGCACTTTGGGAGGCTGAGGTAAGAGGATTGCCTGAGCCCAGGGGTTTGAGACCAGTCTGGGCAACTTGGCAATACCTCATCTCTACAACAAATCAAAAAAATTAGCTGGGCATGGTAGCACGTGCCTGTAGTTCCAGCTAATTGAAAGACTGAGGCTGATCGTGACAGTGTCACTGTACTCCAGCCTGGGCGACAGAGTGAGACTCTGATTCAAAAAATAAAATAAAATAAAATAAAAATTTTAAATATTTAAGATATGTAAGTATACTTTATTTCATGATTCATATTACATATATATGTTTTTACTTTAACTCACTGTAATACAACATATAAATTGTGCCAACATAATTATTCTACACAAAATATCAGATTGCCTATGACTGGATCATTCTTTAGGTATTCGTAGAGCAAATCTTTCTATTCGAAGAGCATATCACTTCAATATAGGCCTAAAATGCTGAGTCCATAATACTGCATTAAAAGTTGGCAAAACTTTTATAAAAGACAATTAATGGGAAATATTTATCATCATCAAAATTAAAACTTTTGTGCTTCAAAGGACATCATCAAGAAAGTGAAACCCACAGAATGGGAAAAAAATCTGCAAATCATATATTTCATAAAAAGCTTGTAGCCAGAATATATAACAAACTCCTACAACTCAGTAATGAAAAGCAAATAATCAGCAAGGCACGGTGGTCCACGCCTGTAATCTCAGCACTTTGGGAGGCAAAGGCAGGAGGATCACTTGAGCCCAGGAATTCAAGCCTGGGCCACATAGTGAAACCTAGTCTCTACAAAAAATTAAAAAATTAGCCAGGCATGGTGGCATGCACCTCTAGTTCCAGCTACTTGGGAGGCTGTTACAGAAGGACTGCGTGAGCCCAAAGTCAAGGCTGCAGTGAATCACGATCATGCCACTGGACTCAATCCTGGTGACAGATCTTGAATTAAAAAAAAAAAAAAAAAAAAAGGTAAAACAGCATATGATTTAGCGATTCATGAATGTTCATAACAGCATTGCTCTTATAGTCAAAAGGTGGATACAACTCAAATGTCTATCAGTTGATGAATGAATACAGAATATATGGTATATCCAAACAATGAGCTGATATTCATAAAAAGAAATGAAATACTGATCCATGCAACAGCATTAATGAACTTTAAAAATAAGCTAAGTGAAAGAAGACAGTCACAAAAGCCACGTTGATTGCCATTTATATGAAATATCCAGAACAGGCAAATCCATAATGGCAGAATGCAGAATAATAGATTAGTTGGAGAGAAATGGGGAATGGCTGCCAGTTTTGAGCCTTTTTGGGGTAATGAAACTGTTCTTAAATTGTGGTGATGGTTGCATAGTTGTGAGTATACTAACAACTACTGGATTGTACAATTTAAATGAATGAAATGTATGGTATACGAATTATGTTTCAATAAAGATATTTAAGAAAAAAGTCACCAGCAGGAACTATCAAAATCTCCAAAAACATTCATAGGAAAAAAATCTCTTTCATTTTCTCTATATTTAATAGCAGCCCTAAGCTTAACAATATTCCTATCACTACATGGCTCAAATTTTTCTATTATATGAGCTGATTCAGTGACAGTGCAGAATTCAATGTTAGATTTATGAGTTAGGGAGTTACATGTTATTAAGAAAGAAAACTCAAGAAATCACTTTATAAGATGCTTGTATAAGTTTGTTTGTTCACCTATTTGTTCAACAAAAATTAACTGAACACTCTATATGTGCCAGGAATCATGCTGGATTTTTATTTAGCTAGTTAGAATATGATATGGTTGGCTGGGCATGGTGGCTCAAGCCTATAATCCTAGCACTTTGGGAGGCCGAGGTGAGAGGATTACCTGAGCCCAGGGGTTCAAGACCAGCCTGGGCAGCCTGGTAACATCTCGTCTCTAAAATAAATAAAAAAATTAGCCAGGCATGGTGGCACATGCCTGTAGTTCCAGCTACTTAGAAAGCTGAGACTGAAGGATCGCTTGAGCCCAGCAGGTCAAGCTGCGGTGGCCCTCCAGCCTAGGCAATAGAATGAGATTCCAACTCAAAAAAAAAGAGAAAAAAAAAAAAAAGAATATGATATGGTTATTGGTTCAGTTTTCCTGTAGCTAATTGGTTGATAATATTTTATTCTTTTACTAAACTCCTAGCTATCCCCCAAATTTATGCCTCAAAAAGGAAAACAAGAGAAAGATTATAAAAATGACTGAACAAAAAGCATACATTTATCACTGAAACAGAAATTTTCCTTTTTTTATTTTTTAGATATAATCCATTTGTGGATATCTTTGTTTTGTTGCCTTCATTTCTCAATGAGTAAATAAACATACTGAGAAATAAAGCATAGATTTCCACGAGCATAGGGTAGATGATTATGATTTTTTTTTTTGAGTTGGAGTCTCACTTTGTCGCCTAGACTGGAGTGCGGCGGCTGCTCCCAGCCACTGCAGCCTCAACCTGCTGGGCTCTGGCGATCCTTCTGCCTCAGTCTTCTAAGTAGCCGGAATTACAGGCGTGCGCTACCACGCCTGGCTAATTTTTTTTTTATTGTAGAGATGAGGTCTCACCAAGTTGCCCAAGCGGGTCCTGAACCCATGGGCTCAGGCAATTCACTCACCTCAGCCTCCCAAGGCGCGGGATTACAGGCTGAGCCACTGAGCCCGGCTTGATTATGATTTAAAGACTGAAAATCTGGATTTGCATCCCAGATTTGCCACTAACTAGTGGTGTGACCCTGATCAAGTTTCATTTTCTCTAAGCCTTGATTTTCTGGATCCGCAAATTGAGAATAATAATTGCCACTTTCAAAAGATATGTGGAGAAAATAGTAGGTGTGCACATGCGTACTTGTGTATATGTACATGCGTGTATGTAACTATAAATGTGAATACATAAAAAGGGTAAGAAATACATGAAGCAATAAACCTAAAAACTACCTAAACCAGAAAAACAACTTCATAGCATATGCCTCATTGCTCAGTGATGCCAATGTTGCTCATTCAATACTCATTTTAAAAGTACAAGGGTCTCTGATGGACACTGAGGATACAAATATGAATAAGATAAGGAAGGTCCTTGTGCTCAAGAGGATAATAGTCTGGTAAAGAGCCAAATGAACACAAGAAATCAATTAGAATACAACAGAATGAACTAAGTATTTTAATACTTTTAAATGGAAAGACAGTATATAATTTAGTGAGGAGAAAGTCGGTTTTAGAGTCTAGCAGAATTAGGTTTAATCCCAAGCATCTCAAGTAACCACTCCCTGAAATTGAACAAGTTTGTAAACCTCTCTAAACTTTTTCTAAGTCTTGGTTTTCATCAGTTTCCTTAATTTATGAAATAGAGATAACATGATACAAATCAAAGAGTCATTATGAGGACTGAACAAGGTACTATTTATAAAACACTAACATATTGCCTCACTACTCATAACAGCTCTATACATGCTAGCTATAATGATGAAGAAGATGATGAGGGAGAAAGTACTATGAGAACTCAGAGGACAATACAATTAGAAGAGTTCACAAAAGCTGAAAGTTTGATTCTCTAAACTTAAGTCATATTTCTGTGACAATTTTGTCAAAAGATGTCACCAAAGTTAAAAAAAAAAAAAGAAGACAGGCCAGGCTCGGTGGGTCAGCCTCTAATCCCGTGGATTCGAGACCCGCCTGGGCAACTTGGTGAGACCTCATCTCTACAATAAATAAAAAATCTGCCAGGCATGGTAGCACGCCCCTGTAGTTCCGGCTACTTGGAAGGCTGAGGCGGAAGGATCACTGGAGCCCAGCAGGTCGAGGCTGCAGTGGCCAGGAGCACCACTGCACTCCAGCCTGGGCAACAGAGTGAGACTCCAACTCAAAAAAAAAAAAAAAAGACAAAGTTATTTTAGAAAATATGTAAAACTAGAGCATCACAGTAGGTTTACAAGATGGAAATCTATTCCATAAATCTGGATTTTATTTTTTAAAAAATCAACTGAGGATGTTTGAAATGGAACCATATAAAAGAGTTAAAGATTTTCCACCTGTGGGTTAATATTCAGTCAAATCGTATAGGCAATTTCTTTTAGAGATGAATAACCAGCCA